AACCATTTCCCCTCGTCCTGCAGTTATCTACCCTTTCAAAGAGTTGATTCCCCTCCTGTTTGTAGGCTCTTTAGGTACTGAAAGGCTGCAATGAGGTCACCCCGCAGCCTTCTTTTCTCCAGGCTGAACAAGCCCAGCTCCCTCAGCCTGTCCTCATAGGGGAGGTGCTCCAGTCCCCTGATCATCTTCGTGGCCCTCCTCTGGACCCTCTCCAACAGTTCCCTGTCTTTCTTGTACTGGGGGCTCCAGACCTGGACGCAGTACTGCAGATGGGGCCTCACAAGAGCAGAGTAGAGGGGAACAATCACCTCCCTGTCCCTGCTGGCCACTTCTTTGGTACTTGTTTTTGTTATTGCATTCTCTATGCTAATACACTGAATTACACTGCCAACTTTAAACTACAGTTAGGGGATCTCTCCCCTTATGATGAATTTCAGTACATTTCAACATTGTTTTAATGTCTGTTGCTGAGTTTGGCTTTGATTTACAAAAGGTTTTTTTTACAAAATCTTCTAACGGGTTGCTCTTATATCACAGGGATTGTTGGAATTTAGTTTCAGATTTAGTACCAGATTTACTATCATGAGTACTTTTTGTATGAGCCAAATGATGTCATCATCTGCCTCAAATAAATGCACATTTCTGTCATTTTAACCCTCTTGCCCCAAAACAGAAATAAAGGCAGGATTGAGAACCAGTTTCCTCTACAAAGTGTACTGGACAAGTCCAGTTCTTACAATCCCTAAACAGACTTAATATGGCAGCAATATCCCAGGGATCTTAAAAAAACAGTAATAATGCAATTACACAGAATAAATAATGGTTAGACAGCGTTAATTAATGTGTCAGTGAAGTGGAAGGAAACAACTTCTACTTTCGGTATCAAACCCTCAAGGAAATGATAGTGCAATATAATAGGCACACACAGTAATCATGGTTCAGAGTCCATGCAAATGTAAGGAAATCAAAGAGCTGAGGTTATGGCCTCCACCACACGTGGTCTGGCCATAGGGTCAGGTAGGATAACAGGACTTGCAGAGGTACAAACAGCTCCAAACGAGCAATTAAAAATACATTGTTTTGATTGCTTCAGGGTGGCAGAATTTCTTCGTGCAGTGAAACATTTCTGCTAAGGTTCCCGTTCCGTGTATAAAGTAGAGCAGTGCAGAAATAACTGGTGTTGGCTGACAGTTTCCTAGTTGCAGCTGGCAATTATATTCCAGTTATATTTGGTTTGTCACTTGGTGTGCTGTGTTTGGTGGTTTCCTAGTGGAGCCTGCAGAACTTTTCTCAAATGTCACCCCAGAACGTCATGCTGCAGATCAAAATAAAGCCACCCACATTAAACTTCAGCCCCTTCCAAGATCAGTTCTAATAGAGCAGAATTCTGTGTTCTGGCACATCATTAAAAAGTCAAAGCTCTGTTTCGAGGCCAGATCAAGAAAATGAGGTCAATCAGAGATCAAACTGGCCTCCTCGGAAAGAAAACATTGTGCCAAGAACAAGCTATCAATTTGGGATTAGCAAGCTTTCATTCTACACAGAATTTCATTTGCAGTTGTCCCTGTGTGTAATACAACAGAGCAGCACAGATGGTGCAGCCTTTGTGATCTTCTGTGTTTCTCATTTTCAGCACTTGTAAATTCATTTCCCACAATATTCATCTTACTTTAAATTCACCGATGCCCTGTAAAATGCACAGGACAGAGTGGAAATGAGATTCCCTGCTGGTGAAATGGAAGCCAGCCTATGGCGCAGTAGGCTACAGGATCCATAATGGAAAAATAAAAGTTAATGCAGAACAAGTTTTAAGAACTCTGAAACATTAAAATCTTGCTTCTTTGTGAAGGAGAAAAAGAAAAAAAAAAAATTATATATATATATATATATTGAACTGGCAGTATATAAAGAATTTTGTCCTGTCCAAATAAACACGACCAAAGTTTGGTTCCTGTGGATGTACTGAAGAGAAGACCAGTACATACCAAGTCTGAGATCACCCCGTGAGACAAGTCTGTGGGGCCAGACCACATGCATCCCTGGGTCCTAAGGGAGCTGGCTGATGTGGTTACTGAGCTGCTTTCCATCGTATTTGAAAAGCTGAGGCTGTCAGGTGAAATCCCCCATGACTGAAAAAGGGGAAACATCACTGCCATTTATAAGAAAGGGAGGGATGAGGGGCTGGGGAACTACAGGCTGGTGAGCCTCACATCTGTACTTGGGAAGATCGTGGAACAGCTTCACCTGGAAGACATATCCAGGCACATGAGGGATGAGCAGGTGATCTGAGACAGCCAGCACGGCTTCAGCAAGGGCAGATCATGCCTGACCAATCTGATGGCCTTCTGTGAAGGAGAGACGCCATCAGTGGACATAGGGAAAGCAACCAATGTCATCTGTGTGGACTTCTGCAAGGCCTTTTTCATGCTTTCCCACCACATCCTTATCTCTGACTTGGAGAGAGGTGGATTTGAAGGGTAGATTGTTCAGTGGATAAGAAATTGGTTGGAAGGTCACAGCCAGAGGGTTGTGGTCAATGGCTCTGTGTCCAGTTGGGAAGATTTAGATTGGATGTCAGTCACTGAGAGAGTGGTGAGGTGCTGGAACAGGCTGCCCAGAGGGGCTGTGCCTGACCCATCCCTGCAGGTGTTCAAGGTTGGATGGGGCTCTCTGGGCAATCTGATCGATCTAATGCTTGATCTAGCTGTTGGTACCCAGGCTGCAGCAGGGGGGATCAGAACTTGGAGATCCTTGAGGTCCCTTCCAACCCAAGCCATTCTGTGGTACCAGCGAAAAGGGAGGTGGAAAATTCCCATTCCTTCATACTCGTATCTCTCTTCTTTCATCTCACTGCTTTCTTGCATCATAAGGAAGGGCTTTCTACTAACGTTGCTTCACCTTTTGAACAGCCAGCCCATTATCAGCATTAGAAAGAAGGCTTGCCAAACTCGGGTCAGCCTCTTTCTTCATAGCTTAGAAAAAGCAACAGGATTTCTGCATACGTTTTTTTAACAATAGGTGACTGGAACAGACAAATCACACAGAGAAAACTGGGTTGGATATTAACTCACGGTTTTGAGATAGCATTAACCATCCCCAACAGAAAAGCTCTGTATCAGCTTCTTTTGCAATTCATCACTGTCTAAAATACTTGTTAATGAGTCTATCAGATTTCACAACCTGGCCCCTAAATGTTTTCAAAGGTAAATATAGACTTTGCTTGCCTAACTTACTTTGCTTCATTTACTTTGCAAATTATGAATCTCAGTCATTCAGATTATAGTTGTAGATGATGGTGGGGTTGTTCCAATACAAAATGCAAAGGCTTGTGTTATTAAACATTAATGGTATTAAAGGCCAGCATTCACTGCTCTGTTTCAAATTTGGAAGATAAAAGTTCAGAGTATAAAGTGCAACATAGAAAATAATAAAACAGCACAAAAAGTTTCTTAGCCCTTATTATTTCTGACTCCATTTGATCTAGTGGAAGTTAGTAAATGAAATTTCATTCTATCAGCTGACTTAGAACCGATCAGTAGGAAAATATTGTGTGTCTCCACTGCTTGCAGCACATTTTCCCCATTCTGGTGAAGTATTGATACAGTGAGAATCTGAATTCTGCAGTCTGAAAGCCCAGTACTTACCTGGACTCATGCATCTGTATTTCAGCAGGAGAATGAAGAGTAATCAGACACTTAAAAGCACATCACATTACTGCTGGTCTTTCTTTTATTCACTGCTTTATGAATTCAGACAGGTGTCTGATTCATACTGCAGTCTGTAGCTGCTGTTTCCAGACGGTTTAGCTTTCCATTCCTGTTTGTCAATTACAGAACATTTAGTGTACAAATTTCAGTGTTTGTGGAGTCACCAATTTAATCAGCCTTAAATAAAGCAGCTGCCTTTTCCACTTCTCACATCGTGTTGTTTGTAAACAAAAAGCAAGAGGCAGGAAATACATCTCTAATCAGATTTCAGCTTTCGTGTTTCAGTAGATAACAGTATGCTTGTTCATGTGCCCATATACTTGCATGTATTGAACAAGAGAAATGAGAGAAGTATCCAAAAGCTGTCGTTGCTGGGCATTTGTGGGATTACAGTTTGGTTTTATTGTCTTCTTTAACAACAGAATAAGGATGGAAAAGCTGTTTTCATGAAAGCAGTCGCTTCGGTATTGATTTTAATCAAAATACCATTTGGTCTTCTAATTGCTGTTCCGTTGATACAAAGATAACCTCTAAAAGTCCCTGCAGTAGGCATGGAATTAGCATCTCCATTTTCGATGGAGTCTGAAACAAAATCTCTTATTTAAGAGCTGGTGCTGGGGGACATTTGGCTGTGCTGTGGATTCTGACTGTATCATTGACAGTGATGTGAAGGTTTTTTTGCACAACAGTAACAGTGGAATCAGTAACTTTTTCACCCTTGGAGGGATAACGGTGATTATTATATGTAAGGTTCTGTTCTCCTTGGTGCTGGAGAGGTCTTAAATGGAAGAGAACCCAGAAAAGAGCAACAAGAAGCACAGGGTTAGGAATAACGCTAAGAGTAATGAGGGCTGGCTGTTTTCCAAATGCAGAACAGTTACATTTTCCTGAGTGTAAAAGTGCAATGTTAAACGATGGAAATCAATCATTTTTAGTATCAGTTAGGATAGGACAATCAGATTGATTGAAAGTAAAACAGAATTGAAAAGCAGGGAAAAAAAATGAGGGGAGATAGAGGACGCCTCCCTTCCAGGGTGCTGTAAGTAGGCTGGGAAGGCATTTCATAGGGATCATCCAGCTGGCAACGTACAGCTCTAACCTTGTAAAGGTTAAAACATGCACTTACAGGCTCTGCACAGTCTCGGTGAAGTTAGCAGAACTGTGGTTAACAGGCAGCAGTCAACACAGATGAGTCTCTGTGGGACTGCAGTTTTGATGAGTAAATGCCTTAGAACAGAGCCCCCAACAGAGGTGGTCCAGTGGCTGTCATGAGGAGATTGGAGCTTCCAGTTGTTATGACAGTGCATGCAATTAATAAGGATAATTATGGTGATCGCGTACATATCAAGATCTTTCTGGGCAGCAATGAGATATGGCTTAACAGAGCAAAATGTTAAGTGTGTGCTTAGGATGCTGACAAATGATTGAAAGCAGTTAAGGTACCATTTTCTAATGAGTTTGCTGAGCCAGAGCAAATCTCTCCATCCCCCCCACACACACCTGACTGAAGAGATGATTTTTTAGTGTGTAGGATATCAGTTTCCAATTACAGTGGGCAAGGAGCATGCATCCAGTTATTTAGCTCAGCTGATAGGTGGTAACTTGTTATGCCACTCTAACTGAGTCATGCAATCGTCTGATGTTCAGATCTTCTATGCATATTTATTTATAAATATTAGTGCTGTTATTTTGTTGTTGTTGCTCAAGCTTCATACAAAGCTGAGGGAAGAACAGGAAATAAAATTATATGGATAAACAACTGACTGTATTGTAGGTTTCACTGCAAAGTTACCGTATATCAGCTGCTCTTCTGACTGGAAGCACAACATGCCTGAATTGTATTTTCCAGGCAGTATTACATGCACAGGGTGAGCTGCTTGCACATATTGATCTGCAGCTACAGACCCAATCCAATGCAACACATTCATGTGCCAAGGTCAGTTCAACACAAAGTCCTTGTATTACAGTGCTAGACTGTAGACACATTACAAAAAGGATGTAGAATTTACAAATGAATTGTTATATCTGTTGTGTTTATTTTCTTCCCCCAGATTTGTAAGAGCAAAGCGAAGGAGTCCCAGCAGTATTATCACAGCCTGTCTATCCGGCAGAGTCTGGCTATCAACTTTAACATCCAGCAGGATTGTGGCCATTTCCTTGCTGAAGTGCCAGTTCGCCTCCTTCCGTGGGAAGATACCGATGCACCAGAGGTGGAAGAAGAGCAAGAAGAAGAGCAAGAACCTGAGCAAAAGAACGGAGGCTCTCCTTCCAATCCAGAGGCTTCGCAGAAGGACAGCTCAAGTAACCAGGGGACCATCAGCAAGCCACGCAGCCGTGTTGTAGTCATCACACGAGAGGTGCCGTACTTAACAGTGGCAGATTTTGTGCGAGAGTCTGCTCCTCGCCATGCCAAAAGCCCAGATTTATATGAGAGGCAGGTCTGTCTTCTCCTCTTACAGCTGTGTTTGGGCCTGGAGCACCTGAAACCCTATCACATCACACACTGTGATCTGCGCCTAGAGAACCTGCTGCTGGTTCATTCTAGACCAGGAGGCAGCCCTCTGAGCTCTGAGTCTGTGGAGCCCAGTCCCAACACTGCTTGCCCAGCCAGGTTAATAGTGAGCAATTTCTCACAGGCCAAGCAGAAGAGTCATATGGTAGATCCTGAGGTCCTACGGGATCAGTCCCGCCTGGCTCCAGAAATTATCACTGCGACGCAGTACAAAAAGTGCGATGAATTTCAGACTGGCATCCTTATCTACGAAATGCTGCACTTACCCAATCCCTTCGATGAGAATCCAGAGCTGAAGGAGAAGGAATACACTCATGCTGATCTCCCCAAGATCCCTTGCCGCTCCCTCTACTCTCAAGGGCTTCAACAACTTGCCAGCTGCTTGCTGAATCCCAACCCCTCTGAGAGGATCCTGATATCAGAAGCCAAGGGAATCCTTCAGTGTTTGCTTTGGGGTCCACGCGAGGACTTGTTCCACGCTCTAAGAACATCTTCCAACCCAGCCCGGAAAGATGCTGTACTTCAGAACTGGCTGGACATCAAAAGGACGCTGCTGATGATAAAGTTTGCAGAGAAGTCCTTTGACAGGGACTGTGGAGTGATTCTGGAAGACTGGCTGTGTTGTCAATATCTGGCTTTTGCGACCGTAGACTCGCTTCATCGCATTGTGAGAATCATGCAGCGGCACTAGTTTATAGGACCTGTTGCTTTTTGCGAAGCACCTCCAGCCCAGCCCTCACTCCAGCCTGCCCTAGGGCTCACACTTTGAACAAGTGTTTAAAAAAAGGCCTAGATGTCAAAGCCAGCAACTCTGAGCAAATAGGTTCTAATTGGAGAGATTGCCTCCTGTACCCAGTATGACAGAACTTTTGCTTTTTTGCCAAGCCTCTTAGGGATTCGTTTTATACATACGACTGCATTTGGATCAGACACTTTGTAGCTAGATAAATATCTGGATGAAAAGGAGAGCAAACTTCGATACCACTATTTCTATAACTACAGTAAACAAATTGCCCTCCTCTTCTGGGTAGTTTCTGCCATTTCTGTATGTAGCATTGGTAGTGAATAGCAGTGACCTTTAGCAGAGATGAATTAGTTGTAAATGGGAGATGGATGACCCACATTGCCCCACTGCTTTCGTTCCACATCCCATGCAAAATTTCTTTTCACCTGGTCCCCCACAGCTGGGCTGGACTCTTCTTTCCTTTGGGCTCAACCAAACGGATTCTCCTCTCTCTCTTACATTTTATGCCTTCTTTTTTCCTTGCAGGTGTGGTTGTCCTGCTGATTGCACCCATGTCAGCAGGCAGTAAGCATCCTTGCTTTGTTCTCTTCCCTCCCCTCTGTCTGACACACTGCCTACCCGCATCCTTTCTAATCTCATCCTTGATTTCAGCAACGTTGCCTTAATTGGACTGTTATCCTTGGCTTAAGAGCTCTGCATTAAAAAGCAGAATATGCACACTTAGTCTATCCTGTTTCCCCTACTTGACGCTCACCAGTCTGGACAGCTGATGTACTGTAGCTATAACCACATTTATACCATAAAAATACAACACATGGTGGGCAATTGAAATTCCCCTTCCATCGCATAAGGCACTAAAGCCTGACTTGAAACGGACAGGCCATGTATAATCTTCTCTGACAATCACTGCTATGAATTGGGGTTGAAAATAACAGCCACCTCTTCTGTTTTATTTTGGTTTGCTCTTGTCACTTGTGCCATATTGCAAAGTGGGACTGAAATTGGCTCTGCTGGCATGTTGGCAGGAGATAGGAGTGTTTAGAGCTCGTCTGCGTGTAGCTAACAGGCCACATGGAGACACTTTTACTGCAGACACAGTTCTCTGATGGGTACAAACAAGGGGCAAAACCAGTGTTGTTTAATTATCGAGGGAGCTGTTAAGTTTGGCAGCCACAACTAACAGCGCCATGATCCGCTTTTCCCACAGCGGTGTTTGGCTGCACTTCTCTTGTCTGCTGTAACCAGTGTATGCTCACGTTGCTATAGACAACACCCTGAAAATGGCACGCTGTCAGAATAGCTCGAAGATCATTGCAGGCAGGGTTTGGGACGAGAGCAGGAATTACTGAGAATGAGAAGCAAAATTTGAAAAAATTCAACCTGAAGGAGCTTTGCATTTTTAGAGACATCTGCTGACTTCCTTCCCTGACCCAATGGCTGTTTCCTCCAGAACCTCTGCAGTTGAACAGACGGTGTGTTTGCTCAGTATTGCTAGGCTCTGAATCGCTCTCTGAATCGCTCTGAAGAACTCATTTGGATGTAGAGGAACAAGTGATGCTGAATATTCTAACCCAGGTGATGGAAAGCAGACAGCCCTAGTTATGAGCCTGTGCTTCTCTTCTATGGATCTATGTGCAATTCTTGTATGTATTTTTTAAAGCTGTATGTTACAGTGTTCACTTTACACACCAGCCTTTACCGGATGCTAGATCTGCAGCCCCTTCCTTTACTTTCCTGGCACATAAATGCAGCTATCCATGTGTTCCTTTTATGGATGGATGTTTCATTTTAACTGTTAAAACTGTGAGGAATCAATTCACTTCAGCCTTGAAACAAATAGCCACTTTATACAGCGTATGCATGCTTGGACCAGATGCATGGAAACGGAACAAACAGTCCTGCAGGCTTAAGGTCAGCAAAACTAGCTCTGGATCCACACCATTCGTTTGGAGGGGTTGAAATTTCTGTGTTATTCTTCTCTGGCATCTCTCAGAGCTAAGCTGAGTACTGTGTAAGCCTACATCGATTGTGCTGTAGTATGTAGACAGTCTCTGTGACCTTTCTCAAGACTTCTTGAAACTTCTGATTATTATTCTTGTGTTTGATTCACCTGTATCAGTGAAGGATCAGGCAAGGATAAAGGGTAATATATTTTCATGTGATAGATATTTTTTCTTTCTTTTCTTGGCAAGAAGGTAAGGATGGCGGCATTGATGGGGGGAAAAAAAAGACTGTGCTTTAAAAGCCCAAGTGCAATGTATGTAGTTGAGATGCTTCGCTACATCAGGAAAGAAAGTTTCTATACTACTGCCGAGCAGCTTGTAGAAGAACCTTCACAAAGAATCACACACACAGGTTGGGTGCAGCCCTGCTTTACCTGGAGACGGGAGGGCAGTGCCCTCAGGGCTTACACACGCCAAGCACGACAAGCCGTGCATCCTGTCTGCTGGCTGTTAGTCGCAGTGCTGAGCTGAGAGCAGGGCTTCGTGTTCTCTGTGGTCTGGTTTGTGTTTGTTTCATAGTGCCTGCGCGCACATAACTTCTCACCCAACTCCTGTAGGCTGTTGGAGCAGTTCTTGGACCACTTGTCATTGCATGGGGCTCGTTCCTTGAAGCCAGTAGGTTTCTGTGTTTTGGGATTCACTTTCATGTCAACACGCACATGCAAAGTTGAATTTTGAATGTTTTACAACCATACGTATTTAAAGCAGCTGGTCCAAAGCCTTTGTATCTCTAGCTATCTACTTTCTGTTTGTATTTTTTGTGATGAACCAATACTCATTTTAACTCTGCAGTATAAGCAAGCATGGATAGATGTTCACTACCCATCCCTTCTTGTGCAGCACTGGGTAAACTTCAGCAATTTGTAATGTTGTGTGTTTTTCTTTAGAGAAGTCAAACACAACCTGGCCTGAGGTATTCCTTCGGGGAGCTTGAGGCTGACTTTGCAGGTGTGCCCATAACTCTGATGCTGGTATGGTAATGTTTGTGGTGGTCCTTCATCCTGGCAACAGATATTGCCACGTAAATATCCAAGAATGTATGCATTAAACTGATTGTAAACAGATCCTAAGAATGCTACAGCATAATTGCGAAGCAAAAGGAAAAAAACCCTTCTGTTTGCAGTTGAGATCCTGTGTATGGCAGGAGCAAAACCCCTGGCTGTGCATGTTTTAACTCACGTGGATACGTGCACAGATCTTGAATTTTTTAGCAGTCGCACTTTCAGTTGAGCTCAAGAAATAGGAAGAGCTGCAAATCTAAGATAACAGTATTGATTGTAAATATATATTTTTCTATTAATAAAAGCTGTCAGTCAGATATTTTTATCATGAACTCTAAAGAATTTTCCAGTGGAACTAACTTCTGGAAAATCACGTGCTTGTTTGAAGAACTTTCATGAGTGGTTTCTGATCTCATTAGAGCCATTAAAACCCTCTCTAATGTAGCAGAGAGGGCACAGTGATTGGATTCACAACATGTAGTGCCTTGTCCAGAAACTCAAACGAAGCCGGTCAGTTGGTAGAAATCTTATTCTTCTTGTAATAGCCCTATAAATAATACTGCCCACGTTAAGATGCAGAAGAAATAAATAGATTAATAAATTAAATGCTGTACTTTGTACAATACTGAGTTGACCTATCCAATAAGATCTGTTTCTGAAGTTGCAGGCAGGTGAACAGGTTCTTCCCAGTTGCTTGTAGTACAGCGTCAACCTGATTAACAACCAAAACTATGGGCTTTCAGGTCTGGAACTGCATCTGCACAGGGAGAACAGGACGAGTCAATTGGTTAGACTGACGGCCACATCAAAACAAGCCTAATGCTTTGACAATCTCAGCTCTAGGAGACGAGGAGCTGCATTAGTTTGGAAGGAGCAGTGCAGGTAAGGTGTGCTGATCCCGAGGGCAGTAGTGGATGTGCTGCACACCGTGCTCTGTGGATGAAATGAACACCTCTGGTAAAAGAGGGGTTCTGGAAAACCTACTCCTTGAGATGCTACGGAGGATGGGTTTGTTCTGTCTTTCTTACATTGGAATTCCTTATTCCTCAGATCTGATACGGTCAATGTGCGTAACCAGGTGAATATGAAGAGAATCTATCAGCAAAACCTTACCTAGAAATTTTCAGGAATGAGAGAATCCAGAATCTTATTTTGGAGCCTCAGCGATGTCCAGTTCAGAGGCCTGATCTCTCTTCAGCATTCAGACATGATGAAACCAACAACACAAGCTGGGATGCTTTGCTGCTGGCCTGCAGACAGGAACGCACAGCATTTACTCAAACACTCCAGCTTAAATCTTGTGTGCTCCACGCATCCCAGCAGCCCCCACAAGGTATGAATGGATCATTTTGACATTTCAACACAGAGGAGCTCCAACACATTAGGAAAAGATATTATTTAAATAAATCAGATGTGTGTTAGTGATCGACCACCTAGAGAATTGATTCAGCAGCTTTGCACCGTAGGGCCGTAACTTTAGCATATAAAAATAGTATTTGCTGCTGAATTAAGATGTATCTGTTTTTCTCTGCTCTTGTGAGAGCTGAGAAGCCCCACTTAAGTTAATATATGTTGTTTGTAGTAACAAATTCATGTGGAAATATAAATTAAATAGTTCTGGTTTTATTTAAATCAGTTGCAACTTTTCTAAGGGATACGATGGTGACTGAATCAAACCATTTAATGCAATCTCCTTTCCTCTTTACTCCAAACAAGAGCTAAAGCATGTGCATCTCTGTGCAAGCAGTGCATGACCATTTCTCAGCGTGTGAGCGGGCTGTGTGCTCAACTGTGGCTTTGCTAAGATGCTCTTGGTTCTGCTACAGCTCCTGTAAAACCTACAGCACAAAGAGCCCTTCAGTGCACGGCACAGAGGTGAGGTGGTGATGTGGTTATGCAGTAACATAACATCAAAGAAGGGCAGAGTTAAGAGTTTTTAATGCCTGTAATAATAGGCCTGTGGAGATATTCTGTAGACTGTCATCTGGATTCCAAACACATTAAGGAATACAAAGAAAATGCTTTTCAGAAGAAATTCTGGTAGACATTCCTATGGATTTGACTATTCACCTGGATGCAGTATTAGAAGGATGGTGGTTTTGAACAGACGTAGAATGTAATTTAAATAACTCCCTATAAGCCTCCTTATTGGTGCTCCACTCAGCATTTAGTTGGAAACCACAGAATGCTTTCAGATCAAGCAGAGTCGCCAGTCAGAAATGAAACACTCAGCATACCTGTACATAAGCATATTCCCACTCTATAGAATGTGAGGATTTGGATTGTACTTCAGATTATGAAGATTTCCATAAACCCAAGGGGAAAATTTCAGGGATTTATGAGACGCTGGAATTTATTTTTTTTTATGTGGAAGAAATATATGTTCACATATATACATAAATATATATGAGTGTGTGCAGGCACATTTATATGTATGTATGTATGTGTATGAATTTTTGTATCCCAAAAGTATTCTTTGCCCCCTTTAATCTGAAAATATATATATTATATATCGTATATATAATATATATTTAAGGTTGTGTAAGTTTGAATACAGTCATTTCAGAAGTAACACCTCTTCAAAAATGACCCAGCCTCTATTTCTTTATCATTTGGCTTGTTGGGATTGGAAAGTTTTGCAGTTGAAATCCTTGGGTTTTTTTCTTTTAAAACTTAATTATGCTGAGCATCATCTAACAATATGTTCTTGTCTTTAATAGAAGGGGAGAAATTATTTTTAAATTAGGGGTTACAAAATGGATGATCTTTTATAAGCGAGATTTCTTTAAAATCCCTTGAATGAGGGATTTGTTTTTCTTGAATTTGAACTCCATTCTTGTGGGTAATTTGTATTTGGAATTCCTGGTTGCATTGCTTTATCTGGTGCTTCATATCAACATGTACACGTTTTTATATAAGTATATAAACTTCAAGCCTTCCTTTGTGATCAGGGGCAGTTACACTCTGGTTTGCTGTGGTACTTTGCTGTGTACTCTGTGGCATTCATGTTACTGTGTAAATAAACTAGTTTTATTACACTCCAGCAAACATCACCTTCTCTCATTTTTCTTCTAGGCAGTTAGCTTAGAATTCGTGTTTCTGAGCAAAATGCACGTGGCAAGTTGAGGAAAAGATTGTGCTCCAAGCAAAGCTGGCTGGTGGGCAGCAGCAGATAGGTGTGAGTGCTGGTCATGCAGCTTCAACTGATGAGCAACACCCGGAGCCTTGGGCTGTGCTGCAGTGGGGCTGGGGTCCCTGCTCCCAGCACAGCCACCCTGCTGCTTGCTGCCTGTGCTGCTCTGTGCCCCAGGAGCCTGGCCGCAGCTCCATCCAGACAAGTGGCAGCAGCAGCTCACAAAGAAACCCTGCCAGCAGCTGCTGCTGATCAAACCACTGTCTTGGAAGGCCCTGCTGGAGGGAGGTGACTTGACACGTTAGTAACAGTGGACACTGAGCCAAAGTTAGCAATTTCCCTGGTGTGGACAGAGCTCGGCTGATCTGATGAGGAGGAGTGAAATGGCTCTCCAGGAAATTTTTGTATGCTGTGACGGTGTGGGATGCCTTCAAGGCACTTGTCTGCAGTGGAATTCATTTTGTGTCTGATCTGTTACCTTGAAGCATACAGCCTGATGGAGGGTCTGAGAAAAAAAGATGGGATCATACGCACCTTCCGTGCTCATGCAGACACACTTCAGCAGCAGTGAGATGAAACAGCTCAATTTGGTACCCGGACCTGATAGCAGCAATGGTAGCTGCAGATGCTAATTTATTAGCATAGCACAGATGACACCGTATACATTGGAGCAGTGCTGTGGTTCTGCATGACAATTGCACTGCTCATAAGTATTCAAAAAAAACCAACATCCTGAGGGCTCAATTCTTGCCAGAGCTCTGGTGGCTTTGTACAGGTAATGTCATCAATTTTGGTGGGATCAGAATCAGTCTTCTGTAACTGCTACATGCCTTTCACATCCATTCCTCAGACACTGTTTCAAAGCCTTTCCAAACCAGCAGAAGCTGGAGTCCTTATGCTTTTTAAAAATACAAAGCTGACAGATTCAAGAGATGTGAGTAAATACACAATATGTTTAACAGCCCGACCTCTTTTGGCTTTGCCAGAGTAATCCCTATTCACCTGAACCAAGAGCCATGGACTCAGCTAAACAGTCAGATTATGCCAGTTGTCAGTGGAGATCACACTCTGGAGGGAAAAGATACTTAAAAAGTTACTTGTCAAGATCTGTTTGAACTTAATTCAGTACAAGCTCTGGTGGATCCATAGGTGGTCACAGACTGGCATTTTTATTTCAGCTTGTGCCAGGCACGCACAGAAGGGAAGCTAACAGACACCTGGTTTAGGCAAGAATAATTTCTTTCTGTTTTTTCACCAGCTCAGAAATTCACCTTAATGGTTGACTAAGTCACCAAGGACTTAGTTTCCATGTATGGCAAACTTATCTTTGTGTTCCAGAAAAACTTCGTGCTCTGCAGGGTTCCTTTTTTGCCCAGCCTAGTAAGCATCTGTGCTGCCATGTATGAATCATGCCAACCTCCTCGATACCAGCAGTTTTAACTGGAGTTCCATAGACATAGCCAGCTCACGAGGCACACTATAGTGCAAAGTTAAATATTTGTTGCAATCCATACTGCAGAGAAAGGTTGTGGTTTCGGTTCAATTGTGAGCTAAGACTTACAGTTCTGTGGATGAAGATGCACATTAAAACACTGCGTTGGGCCCTCAAATCTACTGAGCCTCACTTGGCATCTCAGAAGGCAATGCCACAGCCTGCTGCTTGGAGCCAGGTTTGCTTGGAGGTGGGTTTCTTGCTAAGTTCATCTTTTTCAGATGAGAACACAAGGCAAGTGGTGTTTGTTGTCTTGACAAGACATTGGTGAGCCTCTGGGAGAGCAGCTGGAGGACTGTGGAGCAGATTTAGGATATTAAATCAGGGAACAAAATCACGGCCATTGAACGTTATCTGTCAGCATCTTAACTGTTGCATCACACGCGCTTACAAGACCTGTTTGTTTTACTGTCATCAAGGTGTTGCTTTGTCACATTGCAGCTGGCAGAATCAGGACATACAGTTACTGGAAGGAAATGACAGTTATTTAAGGTTAAGCCACACAACCCTCTACTACATTTTATACTCCAAAAAGGTGATGAATGGGAACGAGGAGCTCATTGCAAAGGTACGTACCACTGTCTCGTTTTTTTCTGTACCAGCCAGACTTAACCATAGTCCCTGTTCAACAAACGTGAAGCTGCTGTCTCAAGCAGTTGCATGGTGTTTTATAGATGCTGGAATGTGCCCTGCCACTGGCATCACCTGAGGCAGAGGGATCCAGATAGATCTGAGCACTGCGCAATCATCAGCGGCATGAAGTTCAACAAAGGTAAATGCCAGGTTCTGCACCTGGGATGGAGCAATGCCAGGTGCAGGTACAGACTGGGAGATGAGAGACTGCAGAGCAGCTCAGCAAAGAGGAATCTGGGGCTGTTCAACAGCAGGCTCAGTATGAGCCAGCAGTGTGCCCTGGCAGCTGAGAAGGCAAACCACATTGGGGTTCATCAAACACAGCACAGATAGCCAGTCAAAAAAGGTGATTTCCCACATTGGTGTGGCCTCACCTTCACTATTATGGGCAGATTTGGGTTCCACAACACAAAGAGATCCAAAAAGTGTCCAGAGGGAGGCAACAAAGGTGGTAGCAGGGATGGAAGGCGTGTTCTATGAGGAGAGGCTGAGGATAACTGGATTGCCTTAGTGTAGAGAAAAGGAGGCCAAGAGGTGACAGCTTTGTTCTCTACAGCTTCCTGAGGAGGGGAAGTGGAGAGGGCAGTGCTGGTCTGTTCTTCTTGGTAACCGAGGGGAGGGCTTGTGGGAATGGAGCAGAGCTGGGCCAGGGGAGCTTCAGTTGGTGTTAGAATAAAATGTACCATAAAGGTGGTCAAACACTGGAATTGGCTTCCTAGCAAAGCGGTTGATTCTCCATGCTGGGTAGCATTCAAGAAGCATTTGGATAATGCCCTTACTAATATGCTTTAACTTTTGGTTTGCCTTGAATTGGTCAATCAGTTGGACTGGGTGATCTCTGAAGGTCCCTTACAGCTGAACTGTTATTCTGTTCTACTGTACTCTGATCTGTTCTGCTGTGTTCTGAGGCACCTGACTTGGCACCTTGGGGCTGGGGAGAGCCCATATTCCTCTGCTTAGCAGCATGCTGCCATTTAAAGACAAACGCCCCAGGGGCAGCTAGTTATAGGTATTAATGTCAGATCCTGTTGTGTTTTTTTTTTCCTGCTTTCATTGGACTCTTAATGATCTAGATTAACTGCAATGAACAGCAGAAGATTAACTTTAAAAAAACTAAAGTTTTTTTTTTTTTTCCCAGTAGTTTATCTATAAGAAGCAAACCATTCGCTTTGCAAAATGTAAACCAAAATGCAAAAGGACATTAGAGTTCTTCTAAAGAAAATGGAGGATTACATCAAGATAATAAAACCATCTGAGTTCCTACACAGGCACTAAATTTGTATCAAGTCATTGCTGGAGATGGGCCAGTAGTCTGCCCACATACAGCCACTACCTCAACCATCTGAAGAAGAACGCCCTGTAACCTGTGGAGCTAGTTATGCAGCTTCTGCTGTCCAGGAGAGCAAGTTGCCTTCCAAGCTTTCTCCATTTTATTGCTGAGGTTTATGCTCTGCATGACTCAAGGTCATGCATTTGTGTTTGTGCAGATGCTATTGCTGACGCTGCTATCACAAAGGTTTGCTTAGGCTTGAGACAAGGAACAACAAGATATCAGATGGTGTTCTGGGATACCACGTGACAATTTTTTTTATTGCACTAGTTATAAATGTTATAATACCACCCACTGGTCCATAAAACCCAGAGCTTCACCATTCCTGCCATTTTTGCAGTGATGAATCATTCAAATCATTTCCCCGTGGCGTGAAGCACTTCCCTCCATGCATATCACTTTGAAGACTTCTCTCATCTCTCTCCATAAAGCCCTCAGCATACAGTCCTTCTCTCCTCACAGCTGTGAGGTGGTTTTGGTCTGTGTGTTTTTCGGCTGATGGGGCACAAAATGAGGGAACAGGAGTAAGGATGTGGGCATTCTGTACGAATGTCAGAACATGTCTTACCTCGAGTACATCAGCACTCTATTTGCTTGCCCTGGGTAGACATTTCTAAGCCTACAGCCTTGGCTTTTGAAAATTCTAGATGTTCACATTAGACTGTGTAATTTATTTTTTTAGGGATTAGTCTGTGTTTATTCAACTCAACATTTCCTTTGCTGTTTTTGTCCACTTTTCCAAATAATTCAAGTCCATCTGGAGTCTTTTACAATCTCCTGCTATTTATGCTCGTCTTGAAAATATCTCACTTTGTGATTAATCACTTCTTCCTGCAAAACAGAATTGGAAACATTTTACTCAGACTAGTTTTTGGACACAGTTGTCTGTCTTCTCTAAAGGATTTGTACTTGTTACAGAATTTTTGTTCTCTGTGATTAAAAAGGTTTTATTTTTTCCCCACTCACTAGGAGTAAAGTAAGAATACAGTATGAGTTTTGTGCTGAAGGGGAAAAGGATACAAGAATACTGAAGCATTTACTGTATCTACTTACATGCTACACACCACTGATTCATAACTGTCCTCTATGGCCTGGGAGCCTCCATCAATTTCCATCTATCTCTAATTATTTTTATAGAACTATAAATCAACTTCATCAATTTTAATAATAGCTGCTTGAACAAGATGATAACAAGATTACAAAGCCCCTTAAAAAGAAAGGAATTCAAAGCTATAGCACTGGAGTAGCAGAGCAAGCTGCTCTGACATCCATTTCAGCCTAAATAGGCATCCAGGTTTGGACTAGAGCTTTGTGTACTCTGCCACTTCACTGTCCTCTCTCCCAGTGCAGTGTCAGTGCCTGTGTACTGCAGGAGCCTTGGAGCATTTCTCCTGCTTGGACCAGCCCTGTTCCCCAGCATTACTGAACAGCCTGACTTACAAGGAGGCAATGGGA